AAAAGTACTCTAGATTTTTGTGCTTATTCTATATGTGGGCAAAACTATGTAAGAAGCCAAATTATAATGAAAATATTGATAAGTTTAAGCAGAAACAAAGGAAATAGGTGATCTTAAAGTGTTTCTTAGTTAAAACTAGCTTAGGGTACATTTTCTCCCTTAAGAGAGAGCTCCCATAAGGATGAGTGAAAATGGGCACTTGATCCTCAGTTCTAGACAGAAGAGAGATGTACTGCCAATCTGGGTTAATATCATTTTCTTTCCTGAAAATATACTTTTGGTGGCATTGTTCTTAAACAGTTTTCAAAATGCTTCAACCTTCTATCTTCCTATTACTGCTTAGAATAGTTTATCTAATTCTTTATAATTTTATCCTTCAAAGTTATCTACAGCTTAAACTTTTATTGACAAATCTATTCTCTGACTCATTCGAATAGAATCATACAATCTAATTTCAAAGCCAAATAGAAATCAACTTGGTATCATTCTCCATTATAGATTATCTGTGCTTCTCTTGTCTCCAGTTTGGGAGCTAATTCAGAGTTCACTGTATCTCTGCAGCAAAAAAAAAAAAAGAAAAAAAAGAAAAAAAAAAGAGCAATTTGACAATTATAAATTCCCATGAAAACTAAAGAGAGTGAAGAGAGGAGAGGATGTGTACCCCCGGTGTTATTCAGCAATCTCAATTTCTTGAGACGCAGCTATACATGAAATCCAATGACCAGACCATCTGTAGAAGCATTTTCTTGAGAAATATAAATCAAAACTCTTTTGGTATTATTTTCTTAAACATTAAAAAAGAAATGTCAAATTAGGACATTAAAATAAAATCACTTAAAGTTTATCATATTTACTATCAGTCAAAGCCTATTTAGGATAATACAGGCTCATGCACCTAACATTAATTAATATGAAATTAATCCATGGTGCATGAGACAGGTTTCATCTTTATTCTTCACACACGTGTTGTGTGTATGTGTATATATACATATATATATTTTTAAATGTTTT